AAAGCAGTGAGATGCCATTAAATTATTAAGCCAAAAATAGCCAGATTGTAAAATCTACAGGGCAGGGATTTTATCTCTTTTGTCACTGATGCGCCTCAAGCACCTAAAACAGTACCGTGCACAGAACTGACACTCAATAACTAATTGCCTAATGAATGAATGTCTATTGTGGCTATTGAATGAATATGTCTATTAAATTGTATTGCATTATATTGTAATCGTTGCTTTCTGCTTCTCCCTTAAAAGACTCAAGTCTTGATAATGACTCTCTTATTCATTTTTATATTACTAGAGATATAATGCTAGTGCTCAGCACAATGCCTGGCTTAAAAATCAATTTCAAAATGCATTCATTCATACAACTAATAATTTAAGAGCACCTACCAGATGCCAGGAACCTGGGAACAGAAAGATGACTAATATAGTATCACTAACCTCAAGGAGTTTATACTCTGGATGATAAGACTGGTAGATAGGCCTGAGAATAAGATGTAGTAAATGCTACAGAAAAGGTAAGAACAGAAAACAGCCCTAGAGGTGTCAGGGAAGGCCAGTAGGTGGAAGAAATTCAAGGGCTGACCCTGGGCCTGGTGATTAAGGGAGGAGCAGAGCATGGGGATGGGCACGAAAGGCAAAGTCTAGAGGGGAGAGAACAGAGCCCATTTGGAGAATTGCAAGTGACTAAGTAAGTCTAGGGCAAGATGAAGCTATAGTGATGGGTCAGGGCCATAGGAGTCTGGACTTTATCCTGAGGACAATGGGAAGTCTTTAATGGGTGGATGATCAATCAGAAGAGTGATGTGGTTAGATTTAATATAGGACTACTTAGGCTCCAGAGTGGAGAATGAATTGGAGAAGCAGTAATAATAGGCATTTCAGACCCAGTAATCAGGAGAGATGATGCTAGACTGGGCTAATGTTGAAGCAGGGAAAACAGAGAAAAATGGATGGATTTGAGAGCTATTAAGGAGGTAGGAGTAATAGGAATTGGTGACTAGTTCGATGTTAGGGTGAGAATGGTAGAACAGCTATGGATGACTCCTAGGTTTTTAACTTGAACACCTCCAGGGGAATCACAGAGTGAGAGCAAAGACTGGGAGTAAGCTGAGAGGCAGATGATCATATCCAATTTGGACACATTACATTGAGTTTTCTTTGGAACATCCATGTGGAGATTTTTAGTAGGCAGTGATTACACACATGGATCTGGAATTCAAAAGGAAGATCTAGGTTGAATACATGAATGTGGTGATCTTTCCATCTTCAGCCATGCACACATGGTAGTTTCGTGTGTTGGCTGACCAACTGTCCTCTGTCAGCCTACAGGAGGAAAAGCAAGGCTTACAGAAGGATGCTCTTTCAGAAGGAAGCAGTACTAAAAGCACCCTGAATTAAGATGAGTGAAGAACCATTTCAATAAACATATTTGAATACTACAAAAAAGAAAAAAAAAAGTGGTCTTTGCTTATTCATTGGAACTGATTCCTAGGAGTCACACCCATAGAGTGTAGAGAGTAAGGAGAAAAGACAGCCAAATGCAGTAACAAACATTCAAACCAAACTTTTTAAAAGTAAATGAATAAAGAAATAAATGATGAGTGGATCCATTTAAAAGAAGAGACCCCTTGCTTGCAGTGCTTTTTACGTATTACTGCCAAGTCAGCTCTATCCTATTTGTGCTTAAGGTAAAAACTGCTCTTTGGCTTCCCAAATGGAGAATATGTTAGCAAACCAAAAATGGAAAGTAAGGAAATATACAGCAGAAAGCACATCTTTAGAGCTTTTTTCAAACATACATGTAGATACTTTACTCCTGAGGCTCTATTGGTAAGTGGATCATAGTAGCCTCTTGTTAATTTGTACATAATAAAACACTTTAAAAACTAACTGTTTAGCTTGGCCGGTGTGGCTCAGTGGTTGAGCATTGACCCATGCACCAAGAGGTCACCCGTTTGATTCCGGTCAGGGTACATGCCCAGGTTGTGGGCCCGATCCCCAGTAGAGAGCATGCAGGAAGTGGCCAGTTGATGTTCTCTCTCATCGATGTTTCTTTTTTTTTTTTTTTGGTACATGCCCCTAGCGGGCACCAAACCCAGGACTTTCTGGTCCACAGGTTGATGCTCCAACCGCTGAGTCAAACTGGCCAGGGGTCATTGATGTTTATATCTCTCTCTCCTACTCCCTTCTTCTCTCTCTCAAATCAATAAAGAAAAAAATTTTTTAAATAAAAACTATCTGTTTAAAATATAATGTGGAGCTGGCCAGTTTGGCTCAGCGGTTAGAATGTTGGCCTGTGGTCCAGAGAGACCCAGGTTCAGTTCCTGCTAAGGGCACACACCTCAGTTGCAGTTTGCCCTCGGCCCTGGTTGGGTCGTGCGGGTGGCAGCCACTTGATGTGTCCCTTTCACGTCAATGTTTCTATGTTTCTCTTTCTTTCTCTCTCTTCCGCTCTTTCCCTCCCACTATATCTGAACAAAAAATGGAAAAATGTCCTCGGGCAAGGATAAAATATATATATATATAGTGACATGCATTAGAAATCATTTGTTGCCTGGCTGGTGTGGCTCATTGGTTGAGTGTTGACCCATGCACCAAGAGGTTGGTGGTGATTCCTGGTCAGGACACATGCCCAGGTTGTGGGCCCAGTCCCCAGTGGGGGGCATGCAGGAAGCCAGCCAATTGATGTTCTCTCTCATCGATGTTCCCATCTCTCTCTCCTCTCCTTTCCTCTCACTCTAAAATCAATAAAGAGCCCTGGCCAATTTGGCTCAGTGGCTGGAGCATAGGCCTGTGGTCCAGAGAGACCCGGGTCCGGTTCCCGCTAAGGGTGCATACCTCGGTTGCAGTTTGTCCCCAGCCCTGGTTGGTCGTGCGGGTGGCAACCACTTGATGTGTCCCTTTCACATCGATGTTTCTCTCTCTCTCTTCCCTCCCACTCTATCTGAACAAAAAATGGAAAAATGTCCTCGGGTGAGAATAAAAAATAAAATAAAATAAAATCAATAAAGAAACAAATTTTTAAAAAAAAGAAATAATTTGATGATCATTGGTTTTGCTCAAATTACCCATATAGTCTTTCTAGCCTGCCTAAATGCTGGTCCTTTGCTTGCCTGGTTGGCTTTGGCATCAAATATGCAAACTCAATCAGTTAGAATACACCTAAAAAATGTTTCTTCATATTGATAAATTTGTTGGTCTATATAATTCATGTAGATTATTCATCTATATTCAGAAGTGTCCCCTGACTGATCACATACTTGCTTTTGAACCTACTAGTTTTCTGTAAACTATTGAGAGTTCTCAGGCCTCATTGGTTTCCTTGGGATTATATACATTATTTTAAATGTTACCATTAACTCACTGCAATAAAATTATAGTTCTGAAACGTGTAATAAAACTCTGAGGGACAAAACTATTAAACCATCAGGTCAACTTGTCGTTTGAGGATTTGTATATCTATTTTCTTTTCTTCCCAGTGTACCCAGACTTGATAGAAGTAAGAATAATTTCATTTGAATGAAAAGCATGCCCAAGCAGTATTTCTAGGAAAGCAAATCTTACCAAGTACTCTTTATTGATTTTAGAGAGAGAAGAAGGGGGAGAGAGAGAGAGAGAGAGAGAGACAGAGAGAGAGAGAGAGAGAGAGAGAGAAGTATCGATGAGAGAGAACATTGATTGGCCACTCTCCTGCATACGCCCCTACTGGGGATTTGGCTCACAACCTGGGTATGTACCCTGACCAGGAATTTAACTGGTGACCTCTTGGTGCATGGGTTGACGCTCATCCAGTGAGCCACACCGGCTGGGCACCAAGTACTTTTTCTTACAACCACACTGTAACATATAGATAAAGAAGTTGGTTTTTGTGCTTTGGATTTTTATGCTGCTATCTCCCTTCCCTTAGAGCAGACCATTTCAAACTTTTACATATCTAAGCAAACCAGTTATTTGGTGAGCAGCTCTATATTCTCAGAGTTTTATTGTTTTATATAGTCAATGTCTTAGTTTAAGCCAAAGGGACTTTGTGGTTTCTGAGATCAGAATTTCAACTGCTTTCTAAAACTAAAAGAAAAGTTAGGGATTAAGTTAACCATTTGTAGACCCAATTTTTTATTGTAAATGGCACTTGCATGTTTTATTGACATTCCCACTATTTTGTAGTAATAACATATCAATGATAATAATAACTTCTATCTATAATAAAAGAGAAAAGGATAATATTGGAACCTCTACTAGATATTCTGACAAGTATTGTTTAAAAATACTTATTCTATTTTTCTACCAAAGAAAGAACAGAGTACATGGAAAAAACCTTTCCTCCCATCTAGTGGCTAGAAAATATAAAAATATCCTCTATGTGTTTCCTGGAATGCCAGTCATTAGAGATTGTCTGACAGGTTATAATACATCCAGTTGTTCATGCAGTTAATCAAAAATAAGTTCTGAAATCTTTACCAAAGCCGAGCGCAATGGAGAATTGTATACCTATGACTCACTAATCACTTCCCTTTAATCAATAACATACACTTCTCTTCAAGAAGAAAGAAGGGCCATGGTCCTTCCCATTCATTAATCTGAACCTATGATAGAAAAGATAAGGTTTTATATTTCTGCTAACTGAAATTTGGACTTAAATTATATTTGCCTCTAAAGCAATCAGTGCCCTAGATCTCTCCTGACCCTTAATTGCTCCTTGTGGGCCCCACACCTTGACAACTCTTCCCTCAAGAGTTAGATGTGCTGAATTCACTAAAGAGAGCCAAGAAACTGTCCCTGAAACTGGCTGCCTCCAGGGGACTTCAGCTCCTGAAACTTGGAATACTAGACTCTGATACTGGCAGCAGGGCCTCTGTGCAAGGCCAAACCAGCCCACAGGAAAGCAGGTTTGGATCCGTTATGCAGCTATAAGGATTAATAACTTGGTCTACCTGTCTTGTATATACCTTGTGCAGACGTCAAAATTTTTGCTGAATTGTGCCTCTCTCTGGTGATTCTCACAGATTCATAGGACAAACGTTGCATACAGTCAGCAAAGTTCTGAGAGCTCCAGAAAGAAGAGGAAGGTCAGTGAACCAGTGAAACTCTTCATCCCTGACAGAAAATGAGTTAGATGCCTTTGCTACATTTATTCTAAAATAATTTTGTTTTGCAGCAAACTGCATGAAATGTCTTAGTAAAAAAAGTAAGTTCCTATCACCAAAATCTTTTACTAAATTTGTTGTTCAACTTATTTAGTCAGTTTACTAAGTGGTAAATTACTGGGTAGTACAAGGAAACATGGTCACCAGGGCTGCCTTGGCATAGCATTACTTCAAGACTGATTTAGAGATGAGACACCCTTCATATTTATAAAATAACCACAGCAGCTATTTTGAAAAGAAATAAGCTGTTGTTCTCAAAGGAAAGATGGTTTTCTTTGCATAATTAAACTCCCGGGTATTTAGACTACTGTGAAATGTTTTAACTTGTTGTAACCTGTGTACTGGAATCCCGCTATAGCTTTATTGCACTTCCCACAGAAGTGCATAGAATGTATGTGGTAGTGCTTATCCAGGTGTGATTTTTGTGTTAACTTCAATCACGAGGTTGAACAGCTAAGTGTTGGACCAAAATGTACTCTCCCTGTAAAGTTCTTCAAATGTGGCCCTAGGCCTTGGTCTGTTGACTAGCCTGAGAAAGGGGAAGAACCTGCAGTGCAGGAGCCTGACTCCCTGTGTAAGGCCAATGTGGAATGCTTCTCAGTAGGCCTTCAGCTTACACATCAGTCTGTAATTTGCAGATGATGTTACTAGTTCCCTCCTTATTCTGGAAGAATTTTGATAGACTTAATGAATTATAAATGACTTAAAGTATTATTTCTATTACTTATATTACATGGAATTTAATAATTTAATTTAAATGGGTAGAACCAATAAATAAAGTGTTAAGCTTTCTGGTTAAATAAACCAAAATGCAAAGTATTCTTTTGCTTGTCTTTTTTTCTTCACGTAGATTAATGTTTCTTCAAGTGCAGTAAGGATATCAGCCCCTGGAGTGCTTGTTAAAATACAGTTTACAAGGCCTGCTTAATTTCTACTGAATCAAAATCTCAGAGGATGGGGCCCTATGAAAAATTTCCCATATATTAATGCACACAAAATATTGAAAACCTGAAACCTCTGACCCAGACTAATAGGAGAATCTCTAGGGCCATACATGCACTTTAGCTAGAAGAAGAATGCGTTATCATAAGAGAGGAAAATTTGAGGAAGCCTGCCTGTCCAGCACTGCCTTTGCCAGACTCTAATCCATTTCTGACCTTCCATAGACTGGGGTCTTGAACTGGGCTGTACACCAGGGCCCTTCCATGGAGGAGCATTTTCTCTCCTCCCAACATATTAAGTATACTCACATAAGCTCACTCTGCCACTAAAAGGAGAAAGAGGGGAAGGGTATTGAGTTTATTATATCCTTAATAGAACTGTAGCCTGAGTCACTACAATTTCTTTTAAGAGAATCATATAAAGAGATTAGCTGTCTACTAGAGGGATTAGGTTTATTTTTTTATCTCTCCAGAGGGTAGATCTAAGACGAAATTGTTGAAAGCTACAGAAGGTCAATTTGGCTCAGCATAAGGAGGAACTATTTAACTCCACAAGTTGTCAAAATTTGGAAATGGGCTGCTGTCTTGAGAGAGTGAGCGTACCTCCACAACAAGTGTTTGAACACAAAGGAGCTTTACAAAGACTAGGAGTCTTTACTCTTCAAAGTAAACTAGTATACAGAATAACCAGTCTGGATTTTAGAAGGAACCATTTTGCTTAAGAAGAGAATTTAGCTCTCATCTATATTTACAATTCTCATAAACTTAGCTTAAGGTTAATAGATCCTTTAAGTCTGAGTCTAGAATCTGAATCTGTCTAGAAATTTTTATAGTGATTTTATTGTCTTTATTAACACCCCCTGTCCCAACGGAAGTCTTTTATTGATGCCAATAGGTGGAAAGTGTATGTCTAATGCAGTGTGTGTGAGGCAACAGAGAGAAGTTGCTGGGCCTATGCCCTTGGCTGGGAACATAGGGAAGGAGATCTGTTATCAGGAGGACCTGAGAACCATGAAAATGTGAACTAGCTGATTCTACATAGCAGAGCTAATATATGCAACCAGATATCAAGATTGGAAGGTATTCATTCAATTCTATTTACTGAATGATTTAATAAAAGGATAAAAATCTTTAGTCTATTTATTTCTGTCCTTAATAGTAATGAAATGAGTAAACACAAGTTCATCAAGAAGCTGGAATTTCAGTGAAAAGGATGAAAACTTGGACCCCAAGCTGGGGAGCCTGAGCTGTCCCACACTAGCCATTCCCTCACCTGACTGTGCTTGGTTCATCAGTGTGATTACAAAGATTAGATGATGATAGCTTGGAAACTGGGACATTGTTAAATTTAAAATTATGCAGGGGAAATTTGACTTCGGCTGTTTGGGGTTTTCTGTCTTTACAGAAAGTTGGTCTAGTTGGAAAGAGATGGGTTAGGCTCTTGACTGCCGCCAGCCTTTGAAGCCAGGCACCAAAACCACACCTTCATTTCCCCTCTCTCGGGTCCCTCTGGTGTCTGGGTTCTTTCATTCTCCAGCTTATGTCTGCCAGAAAGAGGCTGGAAATGAAGCTGAATATTTCATCAGTGTCAAAGTTGCACTCACACAAGTTCAACCTCGTGTGTGTTTTTAAAATAACATTAACCATTAGCACCAGTTTTCATTGTGTCTTAAAATGTCCAATTAATTTATGGTTTCAAACCAAACAGTTGTGGATCCTTAGAGATTTCCACAGATTCTTACAGTAAAAATAATTCTTAATTATAATCATCATCATTCAGAAGAGGACCCAGATGATTAGATGAGGCTTAACACACCCTGCTTGTGAGAGTTGACGTGAGGTCCTCCACGTTATGATTCTAGATTCTACACAAATGAGAAAATGCCTTTCTTTATCCCAAATGTGAAATTATTAGTTTATATTTTTAAGTGTGATTTTGTGTTTGTGTAATGAGGCCCTGGCTGAGACTTGCTATGCAGTTTTCAGTTTCTGTAGAGGACGAGGGTACTTGAGGGCCTTAATGGGCCCTTTGGAAATACATTGGAAAGCCAAGATCCTATCCAGAAATGGAGAGACTTGAGGTACTAATCTGCTTGTATAATTTCCCCTTGAGTGTACTACATCTTTGCAAATAGGGTTTTATGTTCTGGGAATGTCAGAGTTGTTGAGACTGACTCTTGCAGGATGTGGTGGTCTCACAAATACTGGTTGCTAACGTATGGGGATGGCATGTGGACTGATCTCTACATAGACTGGATGGAAGTTACACAAGAGATTTGCCCAATTGGGGACCTTAGGAAAAAGTCCCATTAAACATTTTAATCTGGTCTTAACTGTGCCATGAGTTTCAGGAGTACAAGGGTTTCCCCATGGCAGGCATGGAGAAGCAGGCTGATTAAGATAGCCAAAAACATCTAAGACAGACTACTGGAGCATGGGACATTCCTTGGGGACTCAAACACTTATGTATAGGAACCTGGTATAAGAGTGGACTTTTGGGGGTCTTTATTTGGATATTTCAGGACTCCCAAAGGTGGGAGAAGTCTGGGGCATCTAAATTCCATTTGGATAATTACTAATCAGCACTAAGGTAAGCAGCAAAGTTAGGTTTTCATCTTCCTTTTAACAAGGTGGTTAAGAAAAAGCATAGGTTGCTGGCTTCAAAATCTGACTGCAGTTTTCTATACAAGTTAGAAATTATGTAGCCCTCATTTTACTCAATCTAGAACATGTGGATAATAATGATACCTACCTAGTAATACTGTTGTTAGGATTAAGCTAGGCAATTCAGACAAACTGTCCAGCATGCATATAATCAATTCTCAACAGATGTTTATCATAATTGCTATTTTAAAACTCAGCATGTCTTCTTCCTTAGTCTCAGGAGCTCAGGATCCCCGTGCTGCTTTTTGCCTACCCAGAGATCCTGTATCAAAATCCTCTCCAAGTTTGGGCTAGTACTAGAACCATACTCTTGATTGCCTCTGATCTGAGCATTCTCCCCACTCCTTTCCTCAAATCAAAACTCCCTCTCCCTCAAGACAGTTTTGGGGAAGGGAGCATCAGATTAAGCTTAATGTGTTGCCCTCCCACATTTGCATTTTAAAACAGAAGCTAGTTAATAAGAACAATGAATCTCACCTAGGGAGTGTGATATAAGAAGAGATTGAATAAACAGGGAAGAAGAAAGTCTGAGAACTTTGTAGCTGTCTTCAAATATATATGGGGCTGTCATGAAATGCAGGAAACCACAGATTCAATCAGTGTTGTTCCAAAGACAGAACACAGACCCAGTGGGAAGAAGTTGCTGGGAGGCGAATATGGGCTCAACATGTTGAAGAATTTCTCCCCCATGCTCTAGCAAAGTGCCTGGCACATGGAAGGTGATCATTTTAATGTTTTTATTAGAAATTTGAGCTGTCAGCTGTTGACTGCTTCTAGCTGTAATGAGTTCCCCATTACCAGACGTGTTCAAACCAAGTTGTCCAGGATGCTGTCCCTTTGGATAAGAATTAGCCCAGATGGTTGAGTGTCATCTGTGCACTGAAAGGTTGCTAGTACCATCCCCCGTTGGGGCATGTATGGAAGGCAGCGGATCTCGATTCTCTCTCTCTCTCTCTAAGTATGTCCTCAGGTGAGGATTAAAAAAAAAAGAGGAGCCCTGACTGGTCTTGCTTAGCGGTTAGAGCACCAGCCTGCGGTCCAGAGAGACCCGGGTTCAGTTCCCGCTAAGGGCGCATACCTTGGTTGCAGTTTGTCCCTGGCCCTGGTTGGTCATGCGGTTGGCAGCCACTCGACATGTCCCTTTCACGTCGATGTTTCTCTCTCTCTCTCTCTCCCCCTCCCACTCTACCCGAACAGAGAATGGAAAAATGTTCTCGGGTGAGGATAAAAAAAAAAAAGGAACAAAAGGCTATTTCGGAAAAGATCCCTCCCATCTTGTCCCTAGCCACCCAGTTCCCCTTCTTGTAGGTAACTAAC